GGAAAAGCCAATAAAAACGTACAGGGCTCTGGGTGGAGGCTGAGAATCAGCAATATGGGGACTCACTGCAGGGCACAAGCAGAAAGGGTACAAAAGAAAAACTAAGGGATGGCATCATTTTGATACTGGAATTGAGAATTGACCAGAAAATGTGATAGTCTAAGAAAGAGATAGCCAGAAACTATTTCAAAAGGCCTGTGACCCTGGAGCTCATTTCTTGTGACCTTCTACCATTTCAAGTTTTGCACTTTTTCTCTACCAGCCACATTACTCCATCCTCCTCTCCTTCCACTGCGTGACCATTCTACAACCTCCCAAGCTCTAAGAGTCTTCTGTTGGGTGGAAAAGGGCATGCCATCATTTATCTGTGGTTCCCTTTGAACTCCTACCAATGTTATTTAAAAACAAAACCAAAAAGAGACTGCCAAGAATCTAGGTAAAGCAATAAAAAGTTGGCAAACACAACTTCCCTTAAACAGAGAAATACAATATGTGCATTGTAGGAACAGGAGGCACCAATCATGTGGAATAATTAATAGTTTGGTCTCAGGCACAGATTACTAAACCTTATTGAACCTGCCTGTCTGTTAGGGTTTAAGAGAAATGAAGGAAGAAGCAAGCAGCTTTTGAACAAGCAAAACCAACAGACAAGGGAGCAGCGTAGCCTGGCGGTGGCACAAAAACTCCACGCTCCCAGCACGTGGGGTGAGGCGCCTCACTCACAAGCAGGTCAGGCCTCTCCTTCCTCCAAACCACTGGCAGTCGGTCTTCCTCTCTACCACCACCCACAGTGGCCAAGTGTAAACCTCTACAACTTATACTGTACACTGTATTCCAGCCAGAAGGCGACTTACATTCCCACAAGAGGCTTAAAGGAACGAGGACTAAAATCACCCCCTATTAATAAGGAAGCCTGAATTCTGTCCCTAAACCCCAATGCTCTAAGAACACCCTGAAGAATAAAAATAGAACTTCAAACCGTAAGAGCCGTGGTTCAAACCATGGATCCAAAGCACAGTCGTCGGGGGTTTGCTGGTGTTCTTACTGTTGTTTCCAAACCCTGCATGTCCCAGACTTACCTACTGAATCAGGCCTTCAGTGGGGAGAGCTGGACACCTGTATTTTGGAAGAGCCTCGGGTCTTTCTGAAGGATGCCCCTGGTTAGGAACTACTGCCTTAGAGCATCTCGAAGGAAAGATTCAACGTTCTTACAGAAAAGCAACTCCTCTAAGTTGTCACTGGCCATTCCCCTCCTCACCTGGCTAAGTGCCTAAAGCATGAAAGGTGAGTAAGGCAGCGAGGCAGACGAGCAGGCCCTGAGGTTAAGAGGACCTGCTTCAAATATCACGTCACACCGACACACAGCTCTTTCCACCCTGTTCTTCTGAACTGTACAGTCAGCATCTCCCCATCCACACACAAAAAGGCTGTGTGATCCCCTTGTTGGCCACCTATCGACCTTCTGCATTCGTTCAGCAAATATTTAATAAGCACCAACCACATTTTAGACACGTTATCGGATGCTGAGAATACAACGGAGGAGTAAACAGAGCCCTTCCCTCACAGGGCTAGTGATCTGGTTGAAGAGACAGACAATAAACAAGTAAACAAACTATTTAAAACAGTGTTGAGAGCTACACTTGTGAAGCGCTGAGGATAATAAGGGGGGGGGGGGACCACCTCCCTGGATGGAGTGGTCTCGGGGTGACGTCAGGTCTCTTGAAGGAGGAGAATGAAGGCAGGAGAGATGCTCTCCTACTGGCCTTGAAGACGTCACAGCCAGCCTGTGAACGGCAGAGCCGGGGGTCTCACTCCCACGGCTAACCGTAAGGAACTGCACATCACCAATCACCTGAACGGGCTTGGGAGGGGCCCCGGAGCCCCAGATGAGACCACAGCGCAGCTGACACCTTGAAAGCAGCTTGTGAGACCCCGAGCAGACAACCCAGCCAAGCCGTGCCTGGACTCCTATCCCATGGAAACTGTGAGATAATAAATCTGTGGTAATTTGCTACACAGCAGAGAAAACCAAATCAGAGGGGAAGGAGACAGCCACATAAAGAACAAGTGGAAACAGTATGGAGGTTCCTTAAAAAACTAAAAATAGATTTACCATGTGATCCAGCAATCCCACCACTGGGCATATACCCTGAGAAAACCATACTTCAAAAAGACACATGCACCCCAATGTTCATTGCAGCACTATTTACAATAGCCAGGTCATGGAAGCAACCTAAATGCCCATCAACAGATGAAAGGATAAAGAAGATATGGTACATATATACAAGGGAATATTACTCAGCCATAAACAGGAACGAAACTGGGTCATTTGTAGAGATGTGGATGGACCTAGAGACTGTCATACAGATTGAAGTAAGTCAGAAAGAGAAAAAGAAATATCATATATTAATGCATATATGTGGCGTCTAGAAAAATGGTACAGATGAACTGGTTTGCAGGGCAGAAACTGAGAC